AAAACGGTTTTCTGTGCTCTCCCAGAGGACCCCAAATCCGGAATCATTTCTTATTTTGAGTGTTGGCTGTCAAAGGGAGGGGGGAAGGGGGGTATAAATTGGTTTTAAAGGGGCTACAGGGGTTTAAACTTTAAAGTGGGGTGCCTTAGTGTGATTCTGTTTTTTTTTTTTTTTTTATCTCCGATTCTCTGTGGAATTCTGATGTGACTCTCAGCCAAGCGTCGTTTGTATTGGACTTCTACACAACATTTTTTTTTTCCCCCGTTTTTTTTTGTTTTTTTTTTGTGCGCTGGGGTGCCCGGAACCCTGCATGGCCGGCCGGGCGCTCGCGCCTGTACCCGGGCATAAGTTGGGTGCCCCGGCGCCGGGAAAAACAGCCTCGAAAAATACTTTAAAAAAGAAGGAAAAAAACTTAAAAAAGAGAACACCAATCAGTGCAGCTGACAACCAACCCCATGCTGAAAATGGGAAGGCATTGCTGTTTTTTTTTTTCTTTTTTTTTTTCTTTTTTGAACCACGACTACCTCGGAGCCTCTTTTTGCCGAGGCGGAGTAGAACTACGCACCAAGCTTTGGCCAAAGCGCCAGCGCGGCGTTTTTTTTTTTCTCTTTTTTTTCTGCCTGGCGTTGCCAGCTGCTTTTGGTCCAGTAGCACCCGCTCTCCGACGAGGCTGGAAGAAGAGAGACTCGCCAGAGTCGTAACTCTATGATATCGGGCGACGTCCTGATTGGAGTCATCCATCATGTTCCCCCCCCCGAAGAAAAGAGACTCGCCAGAGTCGTAACTGTATGATATCGGGCGACGTCCTGATTGGAGTCATCCATCATGTTCCCCCCCACCCCACGCCCCCCCCCCAAAAAAAAAAACATAAAAGGGGGGCTAAAGCAGGCTCACTAGACAGGGTGATAGGAGCAGCCCCCGCTAGTGTCCTGGCACCTGCCGTGTTCTGATCTATGGGTGGGCAGCAGCACCCGCTGGAAACCGGGTCCAGCGTCCCTTGAGCTTATTCATTACTCAAGTTGGAAAGCTGTGTGATGTATGCCATCTTGCAGGATTTGGTGGGCACTTTAGTAGACCGGATGGATATGGGTGAACGGGCAACTGTTGCAGTGGAACATTTGACCCATTACTTTGTTCGGAAAAAAAAAAAAGAAAAAAAAAAAAAGATACTGGTGGTTTAAGAGGGCCAAGGTGGCGGCCTTCTTGTGGCGGGGCGACGACGAGCAGGCAAATGTGCTCAGCTGGGTGGCATGGGACTCGGTGATTCAGCCAAAACAGGGGGTGGCCTGGGTATCATTGATCCTCAAACGCAAGTCCGGGCCCTCCGCCTCCAATGGATTAAGAAACAGATTTTTGCCCCCCAGTGCCCTTGGCGGGCTCTGGCTTTGGAACATATTGCCCGCCTGGGCCCCCCGGCCCCAGAAGGAGTTCACCCGCTTACATGGCTAGAAGACAGGTACTGGCCGATCCCTCAGAAGACTCAGGGCCAGCCAGTGGAACAGTTTTGGCCGTCGTTACTAAAATGCTGGCGACAATTGCCCCTCCCGGATAAAACAAGCACCTGGGCGATGGGAGGAAGTGGCCCGACAGCCACTATTTGGAAATCGGTGGATCACACCCCATTCAGGGCAAGTGCTCTGTAGTTCAGCAGCACCATGGAAGGGGTGGGTGCAGCATGGGATTACGCGGGTGGGACAGTTATGGGGATCCGAAGAGGAGAGACTGGAAATCGACAGAGCAACTACGGGACGACCTTCGCTACTGCCACCACATAGGTAACCACTTGGCCATAATCACTGACGCCATCCCGCTTGCATGGTTTAGAATATTGAGACGGGGTCCCACCCTCCAGGATGGAGATTGGGTTGGCCTGCGGGGGGAGCAGCACAGGGTGGGCAGGATCCACCAGCTTCGACCGACAGATGTGATAGTGGAGTACTATGCGATCAGGCCAACAATTCGACCGACAGATGTGCTAGTGGAGCACTATGCGATCAGGCCAACAAATCAGTTGAGAGGCTCCCGCGACCCCTTCCAATGGCGGGAGAGGGAGGAGGTCTTCCGTGTACGAGTGGTAGAAGCCGACACAGACTTCTTTGTGTTTCAGCCCCAGTCTCCCATACAGGAGCTGGCACTGGACCCCTTAGATTCTCCCATACAGGAGCTGGCACTGGACCCCTTAGATTGGCAATGGCAGCCTGCAAGGAAACCGTTGCCCGGCCCTGCAGGCAGACCAATGATTGGGCCAACCAGGAAGATCTACTCCACAATCTGTCAGTTAAGACCGCATACAGGATGCTCAGACTAAAGCGGCAGCTGAGAGACCAGATCAATGACAGATGGACTAGACACCTCAACGTGGACCGGGCCCTCGTTACGCACATGAAATGGTTTAGCAAAAATAAAGCCCGGCCAGCTAAGATTTCTTCATTACAGTGGCAGATCGCCCATCGCTGCCTCCCCACAAATGCCTGGCTAATAGACCACACCCACCTGGAACAGAAAGGGGTTGCACTGCCCTGGTGTCACCGGTGCCTCACGGCCTTCCCCTCACATAAATGGAACGAGACCGTCGAGCACATCTTTATGCAGTGTCCGGTGGCTGTACTGACGTGGCGCTGGTGGGACAGGGTATGGCGCAAGATAGTACCGGACACTCCCTGGCCGTGGTCCTGGAGGGCAATTCTGACTGGACACTGCCCCGCGATGGCTACAGCATCTTCCTACACAGAAAACTGGTTCAGTCTTCGTAGAAGAACAGTCCTCTGGGCCTTGTGGTGGCAGCGATGCCTTCTCAGCCTGGAAAGCGTCAGAGCAGGGGACGGAGAGCTCAGAGAACAGATTAAGGAACAGATCCAGATGGAATTGCTGCGTAGATGGTATGATTTGAAGAACCAGCTGGATACCTTCCAAATGGACCAGGATATTAAGCGGGCCCTTACAGTCTTCTGCACGGACTGGCTTGGGGGAGACCGACGCGGATGGGTAGCTACGGTACAGTGGGGAGGGGATCATTTGGGTGGACAAGCCGGAGCAGAACAGCTCCCCCTCCAGGGATTACCGCCTGGTGTTTAATGATTGGACTAACTTCGACCCCTCGTTCCCCATGCGACACCCTTCTGATTTCCCGGACCCCTTTCCTCCTCACCTGCTTTCTTTAGCTGAGACCTTTACTTGAAATAACCCCCCGGGTGCTCCCCCTGGTAACACAAAGGTTCGGCAACATTTTTGGGAGCTCTGAGAGCCTGCGAGCGTCACGACGAGGACAGGAAGTGCGGGAAGCAAGGGAGCAGGGGTGGAATCCCTCAGGCTCAGAGTAGGCAGCACAGTCACATCAGGAAGAGGTGCTTTTTCTGGCGGCCGGATCAGGGCTGAAGAGATGTCTCTGCAATGCTTACTCCCCGGTGCCCCCCGGGAAATGTTTACCAGAAGATACATTATCCCTTCCCTGCCCAGTAAATCCTCTGGATACCAGAGTAATCAATGCTGGCAGGAGTCTCCTTAACCCCCTATCTGGGTGACCTCCCATTTCAATTCTATTTCAATTCTGTATAAGGGACGCTGGACCCGCTTTCCAGCAGGTGACGCTCCCCACCAATAGATGGAGCCTCTCCTGGGTGCTAGTGGTATCTGTTTTAATCAGTATCACTAGCACTGCAGGGTG